GAGCAGCTGGTTTGGGTGGGAGATAGCAGTATCTAGTAGAAGACTGTGGTATTGCCTGCTGCAGAAACCATTTCAAGCCTCACCACCTTCCTCTCTAGTTGTAGTGTGTGACTGTACAGCAAATTCTAACAGCAAATCGTACTCAGACTTGTAAAACAGATTAGCTGCCAGATTCCTCTTTGTTTTGAGAACATGGCGAAAAACTCAAGTGCCTGCCACAGATCATGTCGGCGGAGCATCACTGGCAGGCCCTCAGATGGAAACAGAATGAGAGATACAAGACAAAATCCCCAGTTTCAGAACTTGACTCTGATTTAGCAGGGTGCAGCAAGAGTCAAGTAAGAGTGAACTAAAATTTCAAGAATCCTGGGGGTTTTTTGCTTGTGATTGAAACTGACCTCATGTTCTGAGAGGCAATGTGGGGAATGCTGAAAATAAAGAAATCAGCAGAAAGCACTATGACATCTATTCCCACCTATTCCCCCATTATTAATAACAGCATTTTTTTTTCACCACTCTCCTTAGCCAGCCAGCCAACTACCTGTAATATCAAAGAGAGCACCTTAAGTTGTTCCACTTCTGACATGGCGGTATTCAGACAGCGCATATTTTAACAGGATTCAAAGACTCTGGATTCTGCAGCCATGTGGGATTTGGAGCTTCATGTCAGTAGAAATAGATCTCTCTGTACTCAGAGTGCAAAAACTGATCACTTGAGCTAAAGCAGCACTAGCTCTCTAGGGCATATAGCATGCAGTGGGACAGCTCTGTTCCCACACAATAGTAGCTGGTGGTACAGATATGTCTGAACTGAACAGTTCAATGCAATATCACATTTCTGGCTGAGATTTTTTTTTTATTATTATTTTGGATTTCCCACAGTGGATTATTTTGAATCCAGCTTCACTGCCTGATCTGTTTACTGGTTAGGATGTTTATTTTTCCTGGAGAAAAGAAAAACAATACATGTTTTATGAAAGCAGCATAAGAACAAAGTATGGAAAATCAAAGGAAAATCCTAAAATGAACTCGTCTTGCCCTAGGGCAGAGAACATGGCTGCTATATCCTAGTGTTCCACTCATGTGGGGAAGTTTTGTTTTTGTGAAATGTTACACATGTGCCAAGTTGCTGCAGATATCTGTATAACCCTTTCTTTGTCTTGCTGTACCAGTTAGTTAGTTATCAGTGTGGTCAATGCAGCGCACAGCACGGTCCCAAGCCTGCAGGCACGTAGGCTGGGAGTCAGTTGCCTAATCACAGCCATCTCTGTTGTGATGCCCTCAGGTTTTGTCCCTGATATGCTGCTGCCTCCCCCAAAAAAAGGCACAGCTCTCATGCAGAGCCTGTGTTATATGCCAGCTTTGTGCAGATCTCTTGGATACATAGGACATCTAAACCAGCTGTAGACACCTATGTTGAGGCAACTGAATACTCACTTGTACTGTATCCATTCAACCAGCAGGACTGTTCAGGCAACTGCAAGACAAAGCCTTTAGATTTCAGGGAGGAAGACTTCCCACCTTCTTAGCTATCTGTATTCTGCTGGCCTTGTGTGGAGAAATACTCTCAAACATAAATAGTAGTATGTAATAAACTCACAGGGAAGAGTTCCCTAATGCATTCACTTATATGGTCAGAAAGTTCTTAGCAACAAAGCCTGAAAGTCATTTGGCCATCACCATTGAGCACTGGCAGACCTCAGAAGTCTAGCTTCTTGGGCACAGAGACTTGCAAGACAGCAGACATGCAGTGGGTGGTTATGCATACCATATGATGATGCATCAATCAGCTGCCATCCAGACAGATGTGAGCTATGTTTGTCACCATTCCATGCTTGTAACCACCGAGTGCTTCCAGGTCAAGTGACAAAGTGCTAATTAGAACACAGCAGCATGAGGGGAAGGAAGTTCCTGCTTGCTCACTGATACACATAACCGTGAGCCAGGCTCTGTCCCTGGCTCCACTGCTTGTTCCATCACAGGCTTGATTAAAAGCCCTCATGAGGCAGAGAGTGTCTCTTTGATTTGAATCTGGAAGGCAATATCCATAAAATCCCTGGGGCCCTTTTCAGATATCCACATGCTATCAAGTAATCAACAAACCATTTATGTAACCCTTAGGTACTCCATTGACCTGGCACCTTTGCCTATAAAAGAAGTCCCTCCCTCCTATGTGCAGAGAGTGGCCGCCTGACGCTTTCAGGATCCTGTTCTGCTAAGCAACTCTTTAAGACTCAGACATTGTGAGACTAAGTTTTTGTGGATGCCAGCTACAGTAACTCTACTCTGCTTCCATCACCTCATCCAGGGAGGGGTGAATTCATGATTTTTTACACAAAAAGTGGATAAAACTGTCTCTGTTGGCCATCCTGGCATTGTTCCAACTTCTGTGTTCCCAAAGGACCTTAATCTCAGCAAAGAAAAGAAAGGCAGGAGACAACTGCAAGGCTTTTGGCCAGTAAAATCATTCCAAATCCTTGTGTGCCTAGATTTGAAGAGCTTTTAAATCCAGGAGGACTCACAAAATGCAATTTGGCCTTTGCAGTGTTTCAACAACGAGCCGTAAAACTAACACCTTGGACCAATTGTAGTCTCTGTTCATATGAATTTACTCATGCACCAGTAACTAACGTAGCTCCATGAAAGGCAATCAAGTGGTGAAGCTTCCACACTGAAATTACTAAAGAAAGGAACTTCTGTCATGCCAGACTGCAAATGAAGCTTAGGGGAACAGTTTCAATCCTGGAAGAAGAAACTTCTCAGTTATGCAGGGTAGCTTATATCTCAGAAGCCTGTTTTTAATCATAACCTCTACAACCCAGTTACACAGCTCATGCTTTACTACTTGGATAGTAGTTGCCAACTGGATGGAAACCTGACTTGGTATTTTCCAGTTGACGGGAAAGCTTTCTGAAGGATATGTGCTTGAGCAGCACAACAGCTTAGCATGAACCTTCCTAGAAATGAAACATAGAAATCACTGCTTCCATTAAATGCATTCACTTGCTCTAGACAATGTGAGGTTCATATCAATACCTTGCTGAACCTTTGCAAACCGTGCATCAGGGCTGCTTTAGACACAGGCAGAAAAGGTAATTGCTAAGAGTAACATTTTTCTGGAATGGCAAAACAGCCCTGCTACCTACCAGCTTTGGCTCTACTACTTGCCTCATCAGCTTGTACCAGCCCCCACATCCACCACCAACCTTCTGGGAGGTGGAGGCAAAGCACTCTACAGTGTTGGCGGGCTCCTGTTGCTGTACGGCTATGGCATGTGCCAGCATGTCCGGCAACACAGTGCTATTTACTTCTCAGCCTTGATGTGGCAAGACACAGTTTTGTCTGCATCACTGAGATGCTTTGAGCTAGCTCAGCCTGGCACTTTTTATGGAGTCCCTTTGGCACGGCTGATTGCACAAGCAGGTCCAGATCCTCCTGAAATGGAATTTGTTTGGAAAAAAAACACCCAACTATTTAAATTTGAATCTTAAAAGAAGATAGAAAATAAAGATAGATCACTGTCATTCCCCCACGTGGTTTCATTCTTACCAGGGGGTAGCTTCAGCTGCGTCCAAACCACAATAAACTAACTTCAGCTTATGCTCCAATGTGAGATAACATGCAGTGTATTTAATTGGTACCAACTGAACCAAGGTCTTGGAAACAGGGTTTGGCTTAAGGTTAGAGTGTAGAAGGAGAAGGTCCCACTTTTCAACTGCAATATTGTATCTTGAGTCCTCATGGCAGAGAAAGAAAGTGTGACCTGTCAGAGCAGAGGAGACAGAAAACATTGTATGTTTCTCTCCTGTTGTGCTGCTGTAGCTCACACTGTAGTGTATAGAACAGGGGGCTGATTTCTGCATAGCAGTTTGACAACCCTACCAAAGGGGACTCCTCTGCATACCTATGCGAGTGATGAAGAAACAAAGTGATTTGTTTCCCATGAATGTCCCAAGACAATCAAGATTTGGACCTACTTTCCCATTCTGAATATTGAGCACAGTCCGGTGAACAGGGCATTTACTCTGCTAACACTGATCCTCTTAAAAATCTTCTATGATTGGGTGACATGAAGCAGATAAATTATTCCTGCAAAGCTGAAAGTTGGTCAGATAAGCTTGGATATTGCACTGAAATAAGTAGTGCTCCTAGTCTCAATCTCCAGATATTTCCAAGGCTAAAGAACAGAAGAGTTTCTGGTTCACTAGAGCAATGTCTATTCAGCTTGAATCTAATACTTGACAGTGCTGTGGCCAGAACTTTGAGCCAGAATAAATACATTAAATTTGGTGTTTCTTTCATTCTTGAACTACGGCCCTGGTTTGTGAAATACTTGGTTGTTCAAAGAATGAAACATTGAGTCACCAAAAGTGAGAGCTGTAACAGCAAGGGGGAGTGAAGCCATCAGTTCTCTCTGTCGCAGGTGAGAAGGTAGGAGAAAAGCAGCTTTCCTCACCTTTATCTTTTTACGGCCCAAACAAGTAAAGTCTGTCAGATTCTCCTTGCTCACTGATCAGGCCTGAGGTGCTTGGGTGTGATGACAGTAAGTATTAGTCATGATCACAATGTTATTTGTCCTGAAGATACAGCTGGGTTTTGTACTTGGATAATGAGCATCTCAACAGGGAAAGTTTGGGCATTCTGCAGAGATGCAGCAGGAAAGAGGGTAAAGATCTCTCCTTGTCTTGCCTGGTTCTGCTGAATCACAGTCCCAGCAATCCCAGGATACAGGAATTGTTCAACGTCTCTCCCAAGGAGATGGGACAGAAAGAGGGAAAGAAGCAGAGCTCTGGGTTTGAGAGAGCAGCCTGCAGTTCTGTGAAAGGCCTTGCAATTCACTTGCCCTCCTGCGCTTTGTGTTGCCCTAGGAGGTGTTCCCTGACAGCATAGTGCTAGCCAACAGCAGCGAAACTCCACATTGACTTCAAAAGAGGGTAAAAAGCGTTTCAGTCCGAACCAAAGCACTGCTGCGTTTTCTATTAAAAACACCCCAAAACGGCTGTGAGTTATGCCCAATAAGTTTAATAATTGATGAAACCATAGCAAGCGACAACTACAAAATACAAAGTAGACACAAAAAATGATGGCATAAAAGTGGGAAGGAATAGTGTCTGCAATGAAAAATGAAAGCAAAATACACTTAACAGAGGATATGGGTTCAGATAGAACACACACGGTCACATACAACACCGCATTAGTAACAGCACACACAGATACTTAGTATACTGGGGATTTTCACAGTTCTCCACTTCATCCCAGATGACAAGTAAATTGATGTTTTTACTCTCTTACATAAATTCTTGTGCACACAACATCATCAGCACCAAAGGTCTGGAAAAGAAATAGAAATCAATCAGAAGAGATGGAACCAGCAAACATTTAACACCATTTTTTAATGTTATTTTTACTATAGTAGCTAGTTCTACAGCAAAAATACCTTTTCTTATGTCTTTTGACAGATGAGAGTAAAGAAAGGAGTAATTTTGGATGAGAAATGCAATGTAAGTGACCTTTTTTCCAAGGCACGATGAATTTTGTCAGAATGATAAATGACACAGAAATTCCCTTTTTCTATAGTTTCTTGGCATGCATTTATAAATAAACATGAGAAAAGAAAGAGAAATTGGAATGTACTGTTGTTGTATTTAGAAACAGTTGCAGCACTTTGAACTGCAAATGCTGAGGGTGGAATTCAGATAGCGTGTTCAAAAGGTATTCTTTGATATTTGCAGGTATAAATCAGAGTAGTCAGTGGAGCAATGCTGAAGACCAGGAGAATGTATACCTATAACCTGTAAACACAATGCTGCTGCAAGATGTTGACACACCATGCTAGGTTACCAAAACCCTCTCTCCCAAGCTGGAATGTGGGCAGCATCAATCACAACCTTCTTTTAGGATACTGTGACCTTAACCAGTGAATTTGTTAACCATGATAAGGGTCTGAAATGAGGGCACATAATGGAGAAAAATGTAGTGGAGATAAAACTCATTTCACGTGACTAAACACCTGTGGGATCTCACAGATATTTCATCACTACACATCTGAAAGTCACTGACTTACTACAGACTACATCCCATTATCATCCCATTTCTTATACCAGATTCAGTACCTCAGAGTACCTTGATTTTCCAGATACTTAGAGCTGGTGTTATGTGATGTTATACCATTGACTGAAACAGAGTTTCAGATATGCACCTGAAAGCCTGCGTTTTTTAAATTGCTGTGTAGTTCTGCACTTCAAAGGCAATTCTACCACAGCAATATTGCAGTACAGATGATCAGGACATGTAGGCAGGACAGCGATTGTGGCAGCTGCCTGAGAAAGCCACCTAAACCCCAGAGTAGTTTGTATGTGATTTCAGGTCTAGCAGGGTGAAATCTAAGAAAGCAATTAAAAATGAAGCAAATAATGGGTTCAAGAGTGAGGAAATACTGACTGCAAAAACATTCATGTTCAGCTACACTGACAGACAGTTTCGAGCTCGCCACTAACAAGTTGTGAGGTGGGATGTTTGGCTGTAATAACTGCCAAGGTCTCACTGAGAAACATAATTAAGACCTACCCCAGTATGTTATGAAAATTCAGCTGGACTTTATTTGTTTTAATGCTTTCTACGCCTGTTTTGGCCAACACGTCTTTGAAAGGACTTGGCTTTAAAACGGACTCTGGCTTATGTTTTGTTCACTTTACTGAAGAGAAAAGTCTGTTAGTATTTTGGAGATATAGGCTTTGTTTTTATGCATATAAAGAGCTTATATCAATCTTTATACACATTTTTAGCTTATACATTAAAGTGTCTGAAAATGAACGTTAAAGGATGCAAGTAGTTCTCTGTCGCCCACAGCATCACCTGCAAATACCCTTACTATGGCTTCCTTCAACGTTTCCAAAATTATACACAAAGGTGAAATTATTTCGGCAGGAGCTTTGCCAGAGAAAGCAAGTCAGAGTCAAGACCATCCAGGGCCTGAGGCTGTCTGTGGAGCCTGGAAGGTCACTGTGACAGTGATTGTCTTTCTGTGGTACATTCAGGCACTGCTAAGCACAGTGAAGTTTGAGTCCCCCGCTGCTATTTCAACACAAATCATAAATAATAGTAAAACAGCCTTTGTGTAGTGTTCTTCAAGACCTGGCACGGCCCCAGTCTGACAGTTGGAGCTGCACAGCTATGCAGCCACATCTTGTGATGTGAGTGGGTGCCACATCAGCCAGTTCTAATGAGAAAGGCTGCAGCAGCAGTTTGCCAAAACTCTTGTAACCTCCCTAGTAAATTTATGTCTATCATTTCAGGGAAATTAAGAGACAAACTCCTTCCCCTAAGCCTGTGCAACAGCAGTTATTCTCACAACAGGTCAGCAGTTGTATTGAGAGGGAACACTGCAGGGAAGAGTACATTGAAATAGGTGCGATCCATGCTGCAAGTCTATCCTAGGGTGCCACTGTAGGTGAAATTCTAGTGTCCAGTTCTGAGACTGCGCTCCTGGGCAGAGCTTGCTCCTAAGACATCAGTGCAGTCCGACTGGCAGCTTCCTTGCAAGACCCACAGCAGTGAGTGTGAAAATAAAGATAAAAATTTGTGGAGGAAGAAAAAAGAAATAGTAACTTTCTGGGAAAGCTCAGCAGTATGGGTGTATCCAGAATGCATTGCAGAGGCAGCAAGTCCACTGTATGTACACACAGATTGACTGTTGTGCACTCACAGAGTCACAACTTGACACGCTTCTGACAAAGCGCAATGGCTGTTCGTTTTGTACTTCCAACATCCAGCTCCAGCTGGGCTTCTGGACTCTAGAAAATCTCAGGCGAAGGACTGCATTCAAATTGCTCTGTCAGGATAAAAATTAAGTGCAGAAAACATGGACGTACCAGGGGAACCCAAACACATAGTAGTCTTAGTCAGTTGCTATACATAAGGAATGCCATTCTCTGCAACACACCAGTCTCACAGTCCGGAAAACCACTATAATTTAACACAATCATATCTTTAAATCTAGATTGTAAAGAGATAAAATGCATGCAAAGCCCAATTACGATTACTCTGGAGTACCATGTAGCCACTGAGCACTTCTTAAACAGCCAGGCATCCTTTCCCTGAAGACCCAGCTAGGTTATGTGGCCTCTGACCTGCTTCAGGAATAAGCTGCATTTTTTAGCACTTAGATTTCATACTTTATACCCATTCAGATGATTAGTGACCTAATTCCAAACTGAAGCACATAAATAAATGGCTTTGATTGTCATGCTTATGGCCATGGTTTAAATGTGGACTTACGTAAAAGGTGTTTCCCTATCTTATTGTAGCTTACTAGCATTGTTGATAAAACTCCACTAAATGTTGCTAAACAAAGCAAACAGGAAGGTGTTCAAACTTGCTGCATTGCTTTTCTTGTGGTTACTCACAGAAATGTCTAAGGTACAGCTGGACCCAAGATCAAGGGAAGGTCTAAATCAAAAGGCTGTCACTCTGTTATTCTTCACACTTAATTCAGGGGTAGGATGAAGCAGTTTAGTGTCTATAGTTCTAATTCTAGACTGGAAAGAAGTGATGGTTCCTGTCAGAACCAGCAGACTTTAAAGATTTCCATGACCCAAAGGAGTAGAACGTCCTAATAAAAAGAAAGAGAGCAAGCAATGCTGGCTATTTGGCGGTGAAGTTTCACCAGAGCAACAAAGAAAAAGTCCAACACTACCAAACTGCGATTCAAATTTAAGGAGAAGATGCAGGATTTTCAAATACCACCTTCTCATCAGCTTGCAAAGGTCCCACTTATCTTACAAAATGCTACAAGGCAAGGCTTCTATCTAAATCTAAAACAGGATTTTAAATGTGCAATGACTGAAAATTACAGGATTGTTTTCTTCACTTAGCTTGTCATAATCTGTAGCTAAGAGTCCAAAAGCACACTGCAAACAAAGCCCTGCACAGGGGGATAAACCAATAAATTGACCTCTCTCAGTTCACTCAAAATCTGATGACCACCGACATCATTACAGATTAAAAGAGAATTACAGGGCAGTAATATATTACTGTATGAGTAAATCTGCTTTTTGAAGGCCTTCTTTACAAACATTTGCTGAAAAGCCTTTGTGATAAGTGAAGCACACAGTATAATTAGGAAGACTGTCATTGAAACAATCAACCGGGAAAGATCACTTCTGCCAGTGTATGCGCAGAAATCCCCTGTTATCTGCTCATGGCTGACCAACCTGCAGAGGCAACTTGCAAAAGGAAGACAGAAAGCATCAGCAAACAAATGGAGAAGATATTACTTAAATGAATCCTCAGAAAAGGCTTTGTTCATGTGCAAACTTTCATGTTATCCACAATAAAGGCATATTGCATACATACATAACCTTTCTCCTCTTGAATCCCATAATGTTTTATGAAAGAGGCTGATCATTATGGGGCCATGGTCATAGAAGGTGCAGCCCCCACTTTCATACTTGGATATTAATAGCAAATCACCCAACATACAACCTCGCTTTCTGCAGGATATCAATTGAGAGGACCATGCAAAATCAGGTCATTTATCGAGGTACCTAATTGTTGATATTTGTGTTTGAGAACTATATTATACAGTTTCCTCAGAGTCATGCAGCAAATGAATGACAGAGGTAAGAACATGAGACAATGGTATCTCCCAGTAGTAGTCCTGAAAGCCAGTACACAGCAAACATCTAAGCTACGAGTGATATTAGAAGAGGCTACATACAGGATCAGATGCATCCAAGATGCAAATGCTTATATGTTTGGGATGTGACCCAGACCAGGCTACACTAGTGAGAAGGGCTGCAGATCCCTAAGCCCCCTTGTAAATCTGCTCGTGGCAAATAGTAAATTAAAGCAATTAGGTCCATGCAACACATACGTAAGCATTATTACAGGCTTCTGAACTTTTATCAAGGCTGCTTTAATGGGGTCTGCAGCAAAACCCCCCACTGACCTCAGTATGAGTAGGCCCTCCTTTTGATAACTGATTTTATTTAAGATCACTCTCCAAAAACTATAGAAAAGTTAAACACTTAGTTAGTTTAACATTGTTCGATACAAGGCTTAGGCACATCACAAATCTCCGCATTCAGCTGCAAAGTACCTTTCCAAATCTGCATTGACCCTTCTCGCCTACTATGTTTAATTTCAGGAGCCAGCAATATAATTTAAAAAATGTTCACTCACTCATCTGGGCTCCACAGTTCACCAGTTTTAATCAACTATGGCATGATTTTTCTGGGGAGGGAATGTAGAATGGAAACCATGCTTGAAACCCCCCTAATGTTCTGATCTTTGACCCTTGCTATAATTGATTCTGAGAAGCCCTGTGTGATACGTGAACTGTGTAAAATGTGGTCTGAGGCTGTTTTTAAAGCCTTCAGTAATCATCCACTTTAAAATGTTTGGGTGTTACAGATTAAACTAAAATCTATACAGGCATGAGCAGCTATGAAAGCAGCAATGCAGATAAAGTTTGAATATAAATGTTTCTCGTTTGAATAGCTAACATTTGGAAGCAGCATCCTTCAACTTTGTAAGAGCAGACCTTTTGTTCTTCTGACTTACAAAAGTGATTGATGGCTCATTAATGTCCCTGACAAAAACACACAGCAACAGCAAAAACATTATAGAGCATAAAAGAAAAGGGAAGAAAAAGCATATTAGAATAGACTTAATCCCAGATCTTACTTTTCAGACAAGTTAAGGAAATATATCTTTTGTGTTATATTCTGATCTTGATTGCTCAAGTGCTAATCCAAGTATACTTTATGAATGTGGAGTTGTAAATACAGATATTCTGACTCTCTGTATACATTAGTTTTAAAGTACAATACAATGGAATCTAAAGACACAGTCAAGACAAACAAATGTGGACTTTGATAGGGATCTGTCCTTTTCACCCTCCCTTGCTTGCATATTCCATGTAATTTTTTTATCTACATTGTTCAGTGCTTCTAAAAATGCAGCACTGTAATCCCAGCAAGTGCATCAGATGAGATTAGAATAAACAGCATTGATGAAAGCAGTTGCAATGTTCTAACACATTCACAGCACCTTTTTTATAAAGCAGAGCTTGATCCTTCTTCCCTTACTCAGCTGAAAGGACTCTTTTTCTAACAGGACTTTAGATCTACATCTGCCATTGTACGAGTCAAATATTATTTATGCTACTAGTAAGAGTAATCTCATTCTCCATGCTGCAAGGAGCTAAGGAGAACTAAAGGCAAACTTAACTGGTACCTGAAGGTAAAGAAAACCTTTGGTAACTAAATAGCGTGTTCCCAGCATCTGTGTAGCAGAGGACATGATGTGACATGGAAGACCATCATATTGTTCCAAGGGAGTATCTTTGAAGCACATAAGGAATTCTTCTGCCAGGATGCAAGAAAGATTGATAATTATACAGTAATATGGTTTCTATTTTAGCTCTGTGGTAGTCATGACAATTCAACACTGATTTTTTTTTTTTATTATATGTGATAATAAATGCATTTTATTTAACATGCTGTGTTGGGGAGAAAAATATATCCTTCCACTAGGAAAATGTCGTAATCTAATGGACCCCCTAAGCAATGCAGCATATTAGATCAAAATTATGTGGCAAAGCTCCAACATTTATGCAGCCAATATTAGCAGAGTAAAACTCATTCCTTACCCCCTGCCTGTTGCCCCAAGCCTTTTTTCCATTCATGCCTCAGTCTAACAGTTTAGATTCCTTCTTGCAACTTTTTCCAAATTGGGTATGAGTTTTCTTGATTTCTTCTGCAAAGGCATGTAATAGCTAAGAAGGAGACTCGAGACTTCTTGAAAGATTTCTTTGGACAGAGAAACAGGAGCAGAGACTGTGAGAATGAGTATCAGCCTTACAGAGTTCCTAAACTGCTACATGCCCCATAAAAGACAGCTTCCCAGCTGCAAACATCTAGAAGTTCACAAGAATGTGGTTTCCTTCTGCTTATTTAAGGCACTCTGCCAGAATGGAAATAGGGAAAGCTTACCAAAGCACATGAGAAAGAGCAAAAGAACAGAAAATATTTCTTAGGTAAGTAGGGACGTTTGAGAAGCGTGAAGATGGAAATTGTTAAATGTTTGAGGTGACGTGGGCAGCAAAACTGAATGAGAATGAATTTCAGGTCCTAAAGAACCCTAACAAAGCTGGGAGGATGCAAGAAGAAAGAAAGAAAGGAGAAGACAAAGAAAGATCTCTTCTTCTCACTGTGATCTTAGTTTTGAAGAATTAAGATGTAAGTGGGGGTTTGCAGACTCAGATCCAAGGAAAATTTCCAAGCATGAGATAAAATAATCTAAGTTGAATCTGTCTTCACTGCAGTGATGAAAAACCCAAACATAACTGAGAGGAAAGAGATCAAAAGGGATCACAAGGTCTTCTCGCTAAGAGCTCCTATTCCTACTTTGTTCCCTGTTAATAGTTGAGGAACACACCTCAGCCAATCCCTTCAGGTAGTTTAACTTTTAAAGCCCAAATAATGGTCTGGAGGGAATATTCTCGGGTTCTAAAATTAGGGGCCATGGACAAGAAATCTAGTTTCCCTTACCCTCTTCTGTCTTCCTCCAAACATTAGATCCCTTTGCTGCCTCCCAGAAGGGTTAATTTTGGCCATCCTAACTTCTCCAAAGAACCACAGACCTCACACTCACCACCATTACTCTTAGAAACACCTCATTGCTGAGCTTTAGGGTGTCAGAAGATTTTGAACATGTTGATCATGTATTTAAAAGATTTGTACATTCAGTCCCATCAAATGTCATGAGGGGCTTGAAAATCTTTGTCCTGAGGACGAAGTAATGTCCTAATATTTAATAAAGCAAAAGAGGCCATTATGCTCCAGAAAAGAGGCAGAAGAATGGAACTGCATATCATTAAATAGTAAAAGACAGAGAGAATGATCTGGATCACTTGGAAGCAAACACTATGTTTTCATAATGGCCATGGTAAAATCATACATTGCAACCAAAGAACATAGTCCCAACTTGCAGGCGAGGGAAAGGAGATCAGTCTGGGGAACCAGAAACCAGGAAAATTACTTGGTATCATGATCAGCTGAGCATGACTTCCCAAAGAAGAGTTAACAAAGTCTTTGCATATAAATCAGAATAATTTCAGATAAGAGTAGGGAGGTGAAGTCACTACATCAGGTGCTAGTGTGATTGCTAGCAAAACAGCATGTGCAGTTCTGGTGTTCATAGTTTAGAAAGGAAATTGATAAGTTGAAGGGGTTTATAGAAGCACTGAAAGAATGATTCAAGGAAAGCTTGCTTTATATTGAAGGGCTCAAGGTCTTCCAATGGTTTAGCTTAACAACAAGAAGGTTCTTCCAAGAGGTGGCTTGATCAGTGTTGTTAAGAGAAGTATTTACAATAGCAAACTTTAGGCACACTATTTAGGTTCTTTTATACACAATTATGTAATGACTGGAAGTTGAATCTAGATACATTAGAAATAATGTGTATATTTTAATGGCAAGGAAATTAACCAGTAAAACACTTATCAAAAGTTGCAACTGCATTGCTATGAATGGAAATATCTTAATAAGAAGGACGTTTTTCTAATTTATATCCTAATTTGAAAAATAATTAATTCAGAAAAGCTCAACAGATGGTATTATACAAGAAAAAAGGTTAGATGGCTTTATAATCTTTGAATCGCTCTGGTTTCTTAACCAACCTCATTCTTCTTCCCCAGCAGGGTAAGTTCACATTGCTGATTGCAGGAGGCAATTGTATTATGACTGGCTTTCTTGCTTTGCTTGGAGCAGTTCACTTTCTTTAACAGCTGCCTCACTGGTTTGTTGCTTAAATAATGAACTACAGAAATATATTGTTAGAAAGCTGGAAAAATTATAGTTGAGAATATATTTTGTCAACTGCATCATATATGAAGATGTGAAGCACAGATCAAAGTACTTTGCCTCCTAAAGTTTTTTGATAATATAAAGAATTCCAGTGGTTGAGTCAAAAGAAGTTATCCATAACTGGAGTATTCATTCAATAGAAACCAGTGTGATTTCACTAACAGCATACACCTCCTCATAAGGGGTGGATGAACGGTTCCAAGATGTCTGGAATAATATTAACACCTTAAAAGCTTTTTGTTTATACTTGGTTAGGTTTGGGTGCTGTTTTTGTTTCAGATGCAATCTTAAAAACAGACCTCCAACTGCTTTAGAGAAACATTGGGGAGACTGTTTGTTTTTTAAAGTGCAGAGGTTTAGTTAGTGTGATAGTTGGAAATAAAACCTCCCTGCTTTGATGTGTTCTTACCCGTCACTCCAGCAGCCTGTCTTCCATGCCCAAACTGATGAGGCGTAACAGTCTAATCAACTATTTGTCCGGAATTCACTAGTAAGAACATGTGCAATAAAATGATTCTGAACTCAAGCTGAACTGTGCTACTTGTAACTCAGAGAAACAGTGTCTTTATCCAGTTCTGGGTATTGTTTCATTAATGTAGGGAGACTACTGAGGAAAGATTCCGTGAAGAGAACTCAACTCTAACAGAAATAAGTACAATATAAATAAATAAACTGCACATGATTCATGGCATAAATGGCGAAGCAGTTGCAGAGGTGCTGCTCAGAATGCCTACAGTAACCCTGCTGCCATATGGAAAGTCACACAGGAGTGGGGGGATGTTGGCTGACAGCAAATGTGCAAATCGGTGTATTTCCGTGAAACCCATGACAGCAATTCTGAACTGGATTCAGAGATGATCAAGGAATTGGGGAAGGTGGCAGAGATGGGGGAGGAATTATACGTTCTTCATAAACAGAATGAGATTAGAGCATGCTAACATGCCACATCTTTCCTGCTATACACCATGTGATTGTGGATAAGAAGCAACATATTATGCACGTGCCTAAAAAAGAAGGTTCTCCAGAAATGAGGTTAAATGCCTTGATCTCACTTTCACCAGAGAAAATTTGCAATAAATCAAGTAAATTCTTTGGTGGTGACATGAATTTACAGAGCAGAAGTGGCCCATTTGTGATTATTCTACCAGTGAAACTATGGCAAAAATTATAGCAATAAAATGCAAATGAGAACCTGCACACATCTTCATTTGTTCTTAAAAATATATTTAAAAAGAAAGGAAAAAATGTGATGTATGAATTGTACTGTAGAGGATTATGAAAATGGTAGTTTTCCAGGTGGATTTAAGTAAGGAAAAATAGTAAGTCATACTACATGGCAACAAAAAACTGTTAATATGGTGCATGTATTGGGTGGGTTCAAGGTTCTTACCAAAATCAGCTCATCATTAGCTAATTCTCGAGTCCAGTATGTTTTGGGGCCATCTCCCTCGATAAGAGTTTGTTTGCAATAGATCTTGTTTTCATTCTCCCAAGTGGCCAAACTCTGCAGGCAAGAAAACCATTAGGAATAACATTAATTATATTCCCCGGCAGTGTGAGGCAGAGAGACAACAATGAGCAGTAGTGAGAGTAATTGCTGCAGTAAAGGAGCAACGACACATAGACAGATAAAGGCAAAGGGAAAAAGACTTCAGTGGAAAGTGGTAAAATCAAAATTAAGGTGTGAGGGGGCGTTTTGGAAATAGGTATATATTAATAACAAAGTAATTGTAAATGTGTCTTTTCAGTGTAAATCTACACTTGTTTCCAAATTAAAAAGCTACCCACTTTTCATAAAATGCTTGATGTTGAAAAGTATAATTTAGAAACATGTAATAATATAGCGTCTACATTCCCAAGCATCTTTGTACACATGTGGTTTGATCTGACATGTTATTTATCACTACAGAGTCCCCTTAGTGTAAAAGCATAAAGAATCGTATGTATCATGTTGTGGTCATAAATAATGCAGTATTTGTCACTTACAACCGTCATGCTGTATGGCACTGTGCCAAGTTAACTGTATATTAAACACTTACTGTGCTAACAAACTAGAATAAATCACAACTAAATTAAAGAAACTTTGTTAGTATTCTAGTGTTTGCAATATTACTTTTTTAAGGTTGTGGGCCTGGAGACTGAAATACCCTTGGGCATTTTTCAAAGCATTTCAATAGTGACTATGAAACCACTGAAAAATAAAAAAAAACATATAGGATTTTATTTAGCTTTCACAAACAGGCAAGCCCTGACTCTGTTGCTTTTCATTCTAGCACTGAACTATTCTTCTACAGTGCAATGGAACAGCTGTGCAGAAGGATGCCCTGTAATGAATGTGCAAGTAATCGCTTTATAACTAGCACATGGGAGACATTCATTAGTCTGTGATTATATACATGTACATGTGTGTGTGCATATGTATGCATAAATTCAAGTTAACACTTCCCAGACTTTCCAAGGGAAAACAACTTTACTTTGATTTAAAACTAGCTGTTTACCTTATAAATATTTTCTCAAAACAATAGGTTTTTTAAGCCAACAAGCCATGGCAGTTATAGAAGCTATGCCTTGCAGTACAACTACATATGACTCGCTCTTTGTCTGTATGAACAATGGATCAAGTTAGTTGGCAGAACAAAACCCTCCACCCCATAAAGTGTAGCAAAATCTCTCACCAGTCAGCTATTTTGCCAGATATTGCAAATTACATTCTGAAGTATTATTTTATTATCTGTCAGTTGCCGCTCTGTGGCCACATCTTGGTTATATACACACAGCAGTACAACTCATTCCTGAGAGTGGACTATAAATAATTTCACAACACATGGAAAAAATTTACTACTTCACAGAACACATTTCTTTCAGATTTTTCCAACTTTCATAGCTTACAGCCGTAATTATTGTTTTTCCATCTGCAGCAATAAATCCTTCTCTAGAAAGTGGGTCACACTTATTGTATATGCATTATGCATGAAGACACTAAAACACTACTTTTGCCGAACAAGATAAATTAAGAAAGCCAGCAACATTTCCTGAACAAACTGTTATATATACAATAACTCATCCTAGAGATCAAATGGATGTTCTAAATGTTCACCGACTCCCAGAATCTGCCTCCCTTTTTCATAAATTTAAATTCACAGCAATTGCACTGGAGATAGTAAGTTCTGAATTTTTTGTGGCGCAAATGGTCTCAGAAGCTAGCCCAAGAATTAGCAGAGATCATATTTTGGAAAGTTGATTATTTCACCATCATAGGATACCTTTAAAACTGCATTCTCATTTGGGACTGCATTCTGATACTCTTTATTCATACTTCTTTTATAAGTGTTTTATATATATTTCTCTTATAAGCATGAGAGTAAAGTGCCTGAGGAAAGGATAACTAACCCGTGCCTTTGATAACTTTTTTCAAAAGACAGCTATGATCACAGCCCAGTTCTCCCATACCCCAGATCCCATGTATCTACAGCACTGAGAAGCTGGTGTCAGAGGCTGCCGACTTAAGGCCCCCTCCATGGCCATAGAAGTGGTTACTAAGGTAGAGGAGCAGGGGTTCACACACAGAATCAAGCCCAAAACACTCCAGTGAACTCCCTCTAATACACTTCCGCACAAGGAGGTAGTGTAATTATGGCTGGTAAAACACTAGCTGAAAGTCTGCCTTACACTGTTAAAGACTTACCTGATCAGCAAACCGGAGACATGTACTTGCAAGGGAATGAAAGAGGATTTCAGCCCCAAACTACAAACAGTCTGCAGTCCTGCTTGTGAACTCAGCTGATTCAGTTTAGGACAAAAGTTATGTCAGGTTTATGCACTAAATCCTGACTCTTGAGGTCTCTCTTGCTCCACCGTTCCCCATGTTCCCGTCAGGGACAGGGGCTGGGGAGAGCTTTCACTGCAGCTGAGGTCTCCAAGGGAGAGGGAAGCAAAAAGAGCTGGACAAAATGCTGCCAGCCAAGGAGCTGTCAAGCAAGTAGTCGAACTCTGCCTTTGGGATACTCTGTTGCCTTCAGATTTCAGTTTTACCCTGCAAGAGGGAGAATGTTGGACGAGGGACAAGAGGAGCGGTGACCACCAAGAACCCCCAAAGAGTGTTCCTGGGAAAAAGAAGGTGGAGGGCAGCAATGCCACTGTCTGGGGACACCGGCAGCAGATGTCTTTGTCCCATCTAAAAAGGACTTGGTAACACACAGACGGAGACACACAGACATGCACCCCAGCTCTCCTCCTACCCTGCACTTTCGTCCATCCACCGTCTCCTCCTCAAAGCTCTCCCCGATTTTGAAGTTGATCTCAGTGGTGCGGACAGTGGTGGAAGTTTTGATGTAGAACTGGTCCCCGTCCTGGCGGATCTCCACGTGGGGTTTGGAGGCGGCAGCCACCGCCACCTTCCTGAGCATGGCGTTCACACCTGGGCGAAGCGGGGAGGAAGCAGAGCTTGAAGCCGCCGGCCGTGCCCTGGAGCTCGCCCAGCACCACGGGGACCGAGGGGGGCGAGAGGCCGGCGGCGCCCGCAGCGGCGGGGCGGCCCCGGGGCACTGCGCGCAGCCCGACGGCGGGGCTCCGCTCCATCCATCCATCCATCCATCCATCCATCCATCCATCCATCCATCCATCCATCCATCCATCCAGTCCTCCATCCATCACTCCCTGCCCGCCTGCCTTGCAGCCCGCCAGCTGCCTCCTGGGGCTTCCCAGGAAGGAGAGCCCACTTGTCCCACAGCTGGGGTGGACATTGAGGACTTGATGAAAGGCCCCAAAGGCAGGCAAGGAAGGGAGAGGGCAATCCAAATAAGAGCACCCTCTCCAGGCTCACGCTGGATTGATCCCCTCCACGGCAGGCCAAGGCACAGCACTACGTTACAGCCTCGCCCCCGAGCTCCCTGCGGGCACAGGCCTCCCAGCTCGGCGGGCCTGCACACCACCGAACCTGCCCCCAACGCTGCTCATCTTGACGACCACCGTGCCAAAGAGGTGCCAGGGTGCACAGCCCTTTCCAGGGCAGGAGGCTGCTGTAAGGAAGCTGTCGCTGCCCCCTGACCCAAGTCTGCCCCTTTGAGAAGGGTGAAGGACAAAGACACATGCAATGTCTATTCCCCAGTCACAGCCACGCACTCCCTCGTTGCTCTGTGGCGCTTTTGGCCGTTGGAGGATGTAGCTGTGGAACTGGAAGGTATTCCTACTGCACCAGAAAGAGCAGTGCCCATGGCGGTCACAAGCTTCTGTGGAGAAGCACATCAAGCTATTTCACACTTATTTAAATTCACACCAGTGTGCTAAAGATTTGAGCGCCGCTCTGTGCCTCTCAGACTTTCCATGATCATTTCCATCGTCTTTGCTTTGAATCCCTCAGTTTCGGGTCAAAGATGATAGACTAAAGTTCCTTATTGCAGCTGATTTATCCACATATTAAGGTGAACAGAATTTGATGGGTTAAGGCATATGGAGTGTTTCTACTGCTGTTGTGCGTAAGGAAATAGTCAAAACATTCAGACGTCTGTGATTTCCCACTCAGAACAGAGCCAGATGTATTTTAATTATAGGAAAGCCTTTGCTGAGCCAGCTTCATGGTACATTCACAACCATTCTTCACTTGTTAGACTCACTCTGTAAAATGAACAAGTCGGTTACTTAAGGTATGTATAAAATGTGTTCACTCCTGGAAAATGTATAGATCTGGGAGTTACTTTATCCATATGTTAGGCAGGATTCTCCAGTTCCTATATGCTGAAATTTGCTCTCATTTCTTATCCGAGGAAGAGTTTTACCTGAGTAAGAACCATAGGGCAGAACCAAATGTTTTTCTGTTGATAGTCACTCTTTTTCTACTGATTTTTTTTCTGTCTTTTCAGAAGGATGCCCTGGAGACCTGGAGGCATAGTTCCTTAACTGAAATATTTCGATGGAAAATGTGGGGTTTTTTCCAGGAAATGAAAATTTCAGTGAGGAATATCTGTTTTCAATAACAGGCTTTCTCTAAAAAAAAAAAAACAAACCCAAAACAGAGCACGAAGCATTTTGCAGTTTTTAGTAAATGACAAAAGAATTAATCCCCATCTGAAATACTTTGTTTAAATATTTTCAATCGCAAAAAGAACTCCAAAGCAAACAAACAAACAAACCACTTGGGGAAAAAAACCAGACGTACAAATCATTTCCCTATTGCAGGTAGGTTCAAGTCTTACAAATAAAAGGCTGCAGGCCCAACAAACCCATACCAAGACTGTGTATTGCTATGACACAGTGAATAAAACCCCTGCTCAGTCCCTCAGTTTCAACTTCCCAATTGCACAACTGAAAACATACTACCATGATCCAGGCTTGCTTCCAGAATCCTGCAGAATATGTATACATGGAGCCCAGTGGAAGTGATATGGCTTACTCTTTGCAGGACAAAGTCCTTAACTAACTATGATAGTAAGTATGTGCAGCATAAACCAGAAAGGAACCACCTATCTCTACCTGAGAAAATAAAATAACTGGAAGATTTTAAGGGGGGGATAGTTTATTCTTTGAAGGACCATGTAAGTTCCACAACTACTCTTTTGTTTGCTGCACCGCTGATATGAACAAGAACTATTCCAGTAGATGTTAGCTGTGAGAGTGTTTCTAAGATGTAGGACTTGTTTTCTAGGTGTTGGACTGTGGCCATTGACCTATTTCATGAAGACCAGGAGAGAGCCTTCAGAAACCCTTCATCTACCAAGTGCGGCAAGCTAGAAGGAACAAGTGCCTTCAGGCGATAAAGGCTCTATTCTGCAATGGCAGTACATTGAGCTGTTCATCCTAAATACATAGAGCTGCGAGGCTGTGATCCACCTATACAGTACAGTTTCTAAAACAAAAACTCAGGTAAATTCTAGGGTGTCTAATTGGCTCTGTCTGGCAATGTGTACCTATTCACACCTTATTTATACATAGAGGCCGTTTCCTTCAAGCACTGCATACTGCAGACTCACCAACTGTTTAGAATTAGACCTGGAAGTTCAACCACGGAAGGAATTGTCCCTCTCTGAGACTGAGGGGCCACTGCTGCTAGCACAGGCTGGAGACAGGCACATGCATTTCCAGAGCCAATGTCCTCCCTCTCACCAGTAGTTCTTCATGTATACACAGTAGTTGAATTGCTCACCAACTGCCATTCCCCCCTTGCCCTTTGGGTTACATTTTTCTTTGTATCCTTCCCTTTCCTTTTAAATCATTTATGTTTCCTTCTCTATCTCAAAAATGTGCCCTCATGATTCTCTGGCTTTACTAATTAATTTAAAAGTCAGCAGGAGTTGAACTCCAAACTCATAAGGAACCTAACTTCACTCCAAGTAAAGTTTAGAAGCAAAACAACTCTTATATTCCAGTCCCTTAAGACAGCTAAAGCTCAGTGAGAAAAATGGTCTTTTTGTTTTTCCATGTCGTGTTTTATAAAAATATTGTCAATCGTAATCCCATTGCATTGTGGAATACAAATCCCCACTTAGACTGATAAGGCAACAGAGTGAGATGTAACTTAAAAGCAACAAATTTCACATGGCTTATGTACTAGTTACACCAATTAATTATGCATATAATAATAAGGATATAAAAGTCAGTAAGAGCTGATTTTCTGTTTCACAAGCCGTGATCATATCAGTTCTCTCAATGCTATTGGATTCATTTGCATGCTGAACTTGTCAGTGGAAAGGGAAGAAAAAGATAAGGAAGCAAATATGGAAAGAAGCTTAAAGGAAGGCAAAACAGAGGTGGGATGTAAGAGCCATAAAGAAGATAGCACTGGTATAATGAAAAAGTTAAGAGGGGACAGAATGTGAATTAGGATCAGTTTACTGCATGTCTTGGATCACCCAAATGAAAGACAGAAATAGTATCACTATGGCAGATATGACTCAAATCTCTACTGTTATAAAGTGAGGGTTGCTCCACTGAGATCGGAAAGCTATGTTGATTTATATTAGTTGAGAATATTGCCCATGGACTTTAACCCTCTTCATAGATCCTTATCCTAGCACAGCAGCAATAGGAGATGTTTATCAGGTCATGCTGAAATAACCCAGACCAAAAAGCAGTTTTATTTTTCTTTCAATCTCCTTCTGTATGTAATTTCCCCATTAATGTTATGGAAAACAGTTTGGTTTTCAAAACATCCCCCTCAGCATTTTTTCCCCTTGGCATTTATTTTATTTACCTGAATCCCCTAAGGCTGATTCTTCCCTGCAGATGGACCTAATTAATCTTTCCAACAGTGCCCCTAAGACAAAAGAAAGTAATATATGTACAGATGGGACCGGGGCACTCCATCATCCATCCAAATAAGTGACCAGTAATGTGACCAAAACTATCCCCTTGAGATTATTGACTGACCACTGTGAAGTCACACAAGGCTCCGTGTAAACAATAAATTTTATTTACTAAGGTGGTACCCCAGGAAAAAAAGATTGGTTTAAGGGAGAATATAATAAATTATTTCTGACATGAATAAATTATACAACTGGAAGGCAAATTGCCGTCGTAAATTTATCTGCCAAATTAATTTACAATGGGCCTCTAGCATGACAATAGGTGAAATGTAATACGAATGTATGCAGAGTAAACAGCATTTCTGCAGTGTTGTCTTGTATCTTCTACTGCACTCTCATTAAGCTGAAACAATACCCACTATTCCCAAGCTAAAATGCCAGAGGGATTTCCAGTCCCAAGTTATCCTTTTGGTTTTTGAGACCTATCTAATGGGAAAGTAAATGAATTCTTGCATTGTTAGAGGTGGACAGTGAAGTGTTTGCCAGTCTTATGTTCATTACGAAGAATAAACATTATCACCTTAATTCCTTCCCTGTAATATTCCCTTTCAAAGGAAACTAATTGATCCATGTTCTCTTCCACAGTCAGGCTTTAAGCTGGCCACCTGCTCTTTCTATCTTCTTTTCTGAACTGCTACAAGAATACAATAAAATTGAGAACTGTTTTCTTAACCAAAGTAAAATTTGCTACTCTTACTCTGAAAACAAAGGGAGTTTGATTGTCTTTTCACTTGGGCATTAATTCTGCAGACTGCTGAGCAATTTGATCCTTACCCAGCAATGCATAGTAGCAGTGCTAGTAGCATAACTATGAACTGTGTTTTAGAGGTGCTCATGTGTGTGTTTTCCCGGGCCGGTGGCAGAATAAAGCCACAAATATCAGTGGAGAGGAAAACCAAGATCACTCAGTCTCAGACTAATATTCTGTCTGTAATATAAATTAGTTTAGATCACTGCTTTGGAAAACCACTTAAAAACTGCTAAATAGTTGTGCAGAACGGTCATACTGAATAACCAACATCCAATACAGATTTTTAGTAGCTGATCCCTTTAACCTACATGCACACAATTTGAGCACTGACTGAGAGACTTAGGAACATAAGTGACATTACCTGCTGTCCAAACTGTCCAGCTATCACCAGCTGCCCTGAACAGTTCTTGTCTCCCAAAAGTTGGCTTGGCAGCTGAAGGGGAGTTATCAGTCCCCAAGCTCCTTTGGTTCAGATAAAGCAACATGGCAGAAAGTAACAGTTTTGAAGGAACATTAACAATCTGCCAAGTTTAAAATACAGTCTTGTATG